TTTTCCAAACATATCATATTACTTATGGTGGTCACTTGATTGACCAGTTCTGCTCTTTCAGGATTCAGGTAATCAACTGGCCGCGTATTCTCGAAACGATCTTAGAGCTAGGATGTCCTAGGTTCTTATCTTCTAACATTGATTCTAGGATATCCTAGGTTCTTATCTTCTAACATTGATTCTAGGATATCCTAGGTTCTTTTCTTCTAACATTGATTCTAGGATATCCTAGGTTCTTATCTTCTAACATTGATTCTAGGATGTCCTAGGTTCTTATCTTCTAACATTGATTCTAGGCGCTGAGATCGTTTCGAGAATACGTAGCCTGGACTTTTAATACTTGTAAAATTAATTTGGAACAGTGTTTAAATGCGTTCCACATGTGCCAAAAAAATAGTAGGTGCAGACAGAATTCAAAATGGTGGAGAATGAAATAGATGGGAACATTTTTTAATATGATATATCTGGTTCTGTACCGTTCGATTGAAACCTGAATTGGAACAAACAGAACCTGTTCAGAACTCATCAATCGAGTTCCACCATGGAGTATAGGACAGCATTTAAGATTAAATTATTCGAGTTATCTAATTGGTCGAAATAAAATTCCTCCACCAATCAAAATCTAACAAATAAGAACTCCCTATAAAATTGAGCACAAGTATTACAATGGAATGCTGATTGGACGAAATCTTCACAAATATTTATTTCTTTAACTTCATCATCTGTAACAACGCCTGAAAGGTACAGAATATTTCACACTCTAGTGATAACAGATATGGCTTTGATTCAAAACATTAACGAGAGTTGAAATGAAATGGAGTTTTACGTCCTTCTTTTCTGCACCATATGGGCTAATGAAGAATGGCAACGCCTTGCAGTGTTCAATAAGGAAGGTTTAATCAAAACAGTGGCATTAGCGTGCTCTTTTTTTTCGATTTCCAACTGTCAAGGGATCTATAACGTGCGCAGTCTGTAGCACACAGGGCCTCGGAAACCTTATTTTGTTTTAACGAGGATAAATTATAAAGGAACCTAAACTCATACCTATNTTAGTTGTTTTGGATTATTGTGTTGATTATATTGTATAGTCAAGTAAAAATATCCATAAACAGTGTGCATTGAAGTAAAC